CACGAAGATAATATAAATGATAAACGAGGAATATTATTTATTATAAAATGCATTATGCACATACTTAAAAGATTAAATGTAACATTCAATGATAACTTTATGAATTTAAATTAAATAAAAGTAATAATAATTCGTTGAATTTTAAGAGCTGCAAAACGACAAAGGATTAGAGTATTATATTTTTCAATCTACTATATAGATGTGAACAAAGTCGACAAAATTTCACAAAATTGTGTCTCAATCCACTTCTATCTTTCCTTTTTATTAGATTTCCTTCCAATTTCTTCATATTCTTTTTAGATATTTTCTTTCACGTAAGTACTTATTAACCGCGCCGTCCCCAGGTGCACGTAAGCGATCCATGCCCTATTCTTTTGTTTCGGGGACACTAATTGCGCGAAATGTCACAACGACCAACGATCACTCGCTTGGCACCTACAGAGAGACCTTACTCCGTCAATACTGTTTCTGGTTGCGTCAACCACACTCCAATACGTGGAAGTCTCCGTAGCACCGGTTGACAAGCGCAGTACGAAAGAGAGATGTAATGTCACACGCCTCTGGAGAACATACGAAGACATTTTCCATACACACCACCCAGCTAAAACACAGCGGGATTCAGGGTTCCTATTTGCAATTAAAAGGTTAAGGATAGAATGCGCAGTTATTTTTTCGATACATTTTAGTCGTTTCTACATTTTAGACGTGTCTCATTTTCTCGGTACTTTACATGAATTACCTGGGACCTGAGTTTACCTTCTGAGTTTCCCAACCACTAAAAGTTTAAAGATAGTGATGTGTATCTTAATGAAATCTGTTCCTTCGAGAAATATTTTGAAATAAGGTCATGAATAATTTTTCGAAAATTTGGATACTGTTCACGTAATTTTACGTAAAAATGCGAGCGAGAAAGTACGTCCAGTTTTAGCACCACTAGTTACCTAAAAGTTTCGTGGGAAGTTAAAATTAATAATTACTGAAAAATAGGGGGTGTCCCTCGTCCCTCCCACGACCGCAACAACAGCTTCTCTCCCTCTGATCTGCAGGCGCCGCGAGACCCGGCGTGTGTCGTTGGCTTCGCGCGCCTTTTGGCTTGTAGACAATAGAAACGTTTGTTACAGTACAGTGTAATAAGAGAATTAAACTTATTTCTATTTACAAATAGAATAAATTGTAAGGTTATTTAGCATTTTCAACTGTGAAAATTATACTAGTTTTATGTTTAAGAATGCTGAGGTGATGTTGCGTCATATGTCGCAAACGTTGTCTGAAATTTCCACGCGGGGCGGAGGTTGGTTCTGGAAATCCAGTGGGAGGCAATCTCAGAACTATGCATCCTGCTCGAGCTTGCAAAAGGCAGTTATGAAACACTTTACAGATGTGATTCGAACTAAACCCTGTCTGTATTTATATGCGTGTCGATATAAATGTAATTAAATCTATGAATAGGTAACTTGCACGGACAATATGTATTAAATTAGTCTACATTTGTATTGTATAATTTCAAAATAAAGATTGAATACTTCCGTAACAAGTAATGTACTCCAGCTGCCCAGTCAATTACTCCCATCTCCATTATGTTTTAGTCCATATTCCTTGATACATCGAGTAAATATTGCGATGGCCTCTTGATTTGCTTCTGGACATAAATGTAGCTTCACTTTAGGCACGTTTCATTTTACGCGTGAATTCTGCCAACTGCTCTCTCGAGGAACCTCTTCCGATCATAAAACTTCGGCCCTGCCTTTCACAAGACGTAAACGAAATGCTCAAGTCTTTCCTCACAAACAGCGCATTCCTGATTAATGTAGGCAAAGCGAGATCCTCAAAGCGGAGGATTGCGGCCGGAGTCCCTCAGGGCTCCGTCCTCTCTCCGCTACTGTTCTCACTGTATGTCAATGACATCCCACAAATAGTTTTTTCTTTACGCTGATGACATTGCCATCTTAGCAAGAGGAATAAACCTAGATGACAAAATTGCACTATGGCATAGCGCTGTCAGGGGTGATGCTGAGGGATTCCCATTTCTTTTTACTATATTTTTTGTAAGTTGTTCTTCCTCTTCGACTGCCATTGTGCTGGTGCTATGAATGACATTGTGAAGAGTTTTCATGCATCTAAAAGCAAGAGTTAAAATGAACTTTCAATGTGTTATCTCAAACCTTTCGAGGCTGTTTTTATTATTATATGCAATGTCTATGCAGAAACTAGGACCGTAGAAGCAGTTCCGTTTTGTGGCCAAGGCAATGAAATGACTTCTGTAAATAAATGCGCTGTTTGTTCTCGTTGAAAATAAGTTTCCTACTCCATGCGTTTCCCTTTCACAGGAAAAGTTTTGAAAATTGTTTTTCTTAATACTCATTAATACCTTTCTCGCTGGAGATCTCGCATTCGATCGTAAGTTTCCTCGCGGCATCACGCCCACGTCACGAGGCGACACCCCCGCACCTCTTTTCACACCTTTGCGAGTCGGCGGGACCGAAAGCGGCCTAGTGACGACGACGCCCCTCCCGTCGGCTACACAACGCTATTTCCAACTACCCATTGCCACGGCAATGCGCCGTGGCTTGGCCCGTTTTGAATATCACGGCGAGACACATCCTAGGCTTTATATGGGCAACACCCCCTAAACCTCAATTGCGGTACGCTCACAGTGACGAACCGAGAGTACTCCGCCTCGGAGAGTCTCCTCGAGTTATTCTTTGAAAAGCGACCTCGCAGGACTGCGCTCAGCCCTGACACATATATAGGTATATGTGCCATATATATAGATACACACACACATACGTAGAAACCCATTTTGGGTGCCAGCAATGTCCTCCGGCTTCGCGAAGACGCAACCCTGCAAAGTACCGAGCCTATATTCTACCATTGCTTCGTTTATGTGCGGGGGGAGGGCTTGCGTTTCCAAACGCACCCCACCTGCGCCTAACGGCGCGCATCGCAGCCTTCCTCGTCCGTAGCCTACGCGTACTCAACGTGTTTCATGCCGGCGGTAATGACGCCCACGACAGTGAAGTCCTCTACACGGCGCGCGCATTTTGGTATGCAACGTGCATGACTACCGCGTCGCCGAGGCCTTCTCGTGCATTCTCACGCATGCGCGTCGTCGACCGACACTACTCCAAATGGATAACGGCAAGAAATTCAATGCGCCCTTCTCCCATATGATGAAGCGTCAAGAGTATTCACTACCCCAACTGACATGAGGTCAATGACCCCCATCTCGATCAGGTTTTCCTGATCCCCGAGCAAATGCTAAGATGGCCCCTTGTTTTTCTTCTGGACATAAATGTAACTTCACATTTACTTCGCCCCATAGCACGTCACACAGTTTTTAACGTAAATAACGACGGCGGAGGTGGAACGCTTCAATCTTACACTGAAGGTGTAAATATTGCGCCCCTTTTTCGCAAAAGGCACACATATACCGATCATGCTGCCAGTAGAGGCGTGTGCACAGCACCGTCGGCGTGGTGCCGAAGAGTCAAGAACGATCTTTTGCACATGGTGGTCTACGCGTACGCGATTGACGGAAGCGCACCGATCCGCAGTGGCGGTGTCTAAGCGATCGAGTCAATTCAAGACGTTCTTTCAGAAAGGCTACACCCCTTCATGCAGTACAGAAATATTTACGGTTGATCGAGTACCTTTCCAACCACGTCACTACTGTCCAGGCCTTGAGCCGTTTCCGACGCACTCCTCCCTCAACAGGCGAGTGCGATACGCATCACCTCCCGACATCCACTCAGTGTTCTCCACGGGATGAAACATGCGACATTGTTGCACACTATTACACCATTGCAGTGCATACTGTGCTGCATTGTGACAACGCCCCAGATATGCCGTGACATTCTGTTAGTCTTCCGTCAGTTGCCATCGTCGTCTTGCTCTTGCGCCCACGCGAGGTCGACTCTACGGAAGTGTCTTCCCGTACACCTGCTTCAATGCCACACTTGTACTCGTCACCACCCGCCTCATCGACTTAAGCGAATTCATGGAGCCGCCGCTCATTCGCGACTGTCAATAGTGCCGTGACGCACAGTTGTTCAAGATCCCCAAGCGTTTCCGTATAACACCTTACTGCCTGTCTACGACGTACTTTTGTGCAATGTTTCTGTCTTTCGTCGTTCACGTGGACGTCTGATGCCTACATCTATCATTCGTGTATGTTTTCTCACCTCACTGTTCTCTGCCACTCTAGTCCTTGCAGTATTGGAATAAACGCATTTTTTTCTCACTTATCGTGTGTCTACTACAGCTTATCCTTTCATCTGTCCCCTCGTGAGGCATCCTGCATGCATTGCCCTCTTGCCCCACGCCAGAAGTCGGCTGTGACATCATGCATTTCTTCCTCTTGTGTCTCCCTTCTTGCACTCCCATCGTCTCTCGTTCCGGCGCCCGCTCCTCGGCTCCCATCCAAACCTCCACTTTCCTGGTCTCTGCAGCCATTTTGAGCAAGACTCCTCGTCACCCCTCCGCAATTTCGCCGTCGAAGTCAGTCAGGGGGAACTGCACCGCCCAGAGGGGGCGTAGTCGTATTGTTCTCGCGTTGACATGACTCTGGATCTGGCACGGGTGACTAGTTTCGGAGACGTAGTGGCTTCGGAATAGCCTTGAAAACGTTCTCATTTCTGTTTATTACTGCCGACAGTAACCCGGCCCTTTAAGAGACTAGTATAGCCTTAAGTTCAGTTTGTTTCCTGCAGCATACATTAAACCATATACCATAACCACATAAAATAAAGCTGTTCTAAAGAAAATCAACATTGGTGCTTCTTCATATTATTGATATGATGGCACGTATAATGTACAGATATTAAGGGGCACCTGTGGAAAAGCCAGGATATATTTTCCCCATGAATCTGAAATTAAGACTTGAATGTTTGGTAGTGTTATTTTTTTCATAAGGTTTTTCTTCGTTTTTGTTAGCTCACAAGAATGTAGATTACCTACTGCATCTTGTACCCTGAATTTGTAAATTATAAACTAAAATAATATTTATCCTATCACCTTAAATTTGGATAAATTTTCAGTTACTTTAAATAATGCAGAGTTGGGCGCCACTAGTTAAGTATAATCCTAGTAACCTTGATTTTGGGAAATCCAAGAGCCAAAAATTGAGGAAAAAGCACATTTTTGTTAGGGATAGTTGGATTTTGGATGTGGCAAGCTTCAGGTGGCTCCTAACGCCTAGAATGTTTTGAAACTTGACCCCACCAATCTTGTTTAGATCTTGTCAGAGTACATCACAGAATTAGCCACTCAACATGCACAGCTCAATCACATCACACTATACGAAAATGGGGGACCATGGCTGTAACTGATTTATGATGTAGACAAATACAGTAAAAATTGCTCAATGCAGAATTTTAAGTGACCACCATTTTTTCTGCATTAGAGAAGATTTCACATTATACATTGAAATACTGAAAAATTTACATTTGCCAAGACCATAGGTTATGAATCAGATGGAGAAGATTTCCTCATTACACGTTTTGCATCGTGCACGTTTTACAATAGGTCTTGAGTAATCCTTCAAACATCCAATCCAAATAATCCTTCAAACTTGCAGTTAATATCAAAACTTGTGTAATGTAAATAAATATGTGTACCCATCCCAATTATGTAAGTACCTACATTATTAATAGATTTTGACCATTTATATGCTTGTATGAATTGTATGTTATTGTATAATAGCATAACTGTAAAAAATGTATAAATTAATAATTATTATATAAAAATGTGTTCTTGTGTAAATTATAAATTGATTCTCGTGGTCGCTTATGACCCAGTTGTAGAAAAGCACCCTTAAATAAATAAAAAAGAAAAGTGTAATCTTTCCAACTGCAGTAAGTATATACAAGCCATCATTACCAAATCGTGTAAAACAAGCTGAAAGGAAATTAATGACAGGTGTGAAATATGGTACTGTTGAAGTATTTATAAATAAATTATATTTACAAGTTCAACATTAAAAGTTTTTTCATAATGAAACAAATGTCATTGTTTGGCTGTGCACCTTTTATATACATGTATATTGTCCCTGGTTGAAATTAGTTCAACACTAATGCATTGATGCTCAATTGAAATGATACAATTTTTTTTTGATTATTTATTAAATTAATTCAATTTAAATGTTTGCAATGTTTTATCCTTGACTTTCGCAATTCTTCTTTTGTTTGGTATATTTTAGGTCTCTTCTCTGCTTGGTGTTGACAATTCTGCTACACACATTTCATTGTAGAGAAACATCAAACTGGCAGGTTTCACATATCCCTGATGGGTGCATTTTTTATGAATATTCAGTATTGAATTTTATGCTTGCCTGCTTTGGATTTGGTGATATTTTTTTTCTGAACTTCTTGTATTGTTTCAGTGATATCAATCTAAAGAGCCTTCATACAATGCTTTTCTTTTTTTTCTTTTTTTTTTTACGATCAGATAGTGATGGATTAATAATTTCTGAATGCTGAGCATCATTCTGAATATTTTTCTTTTTTTTCTTGTGAGGTTCAGGTGTGGAAGTATCTGTCACATCGGTGTTCACATCTTCAATTTTTTCTGATTCTTGGTTTTTCTTCTTTTTACTTGTCTTATATTGAGGGTCAGTATTATCTTCAATGAGGAAAGAGGAGCAAGTGTAGTTCAAAGGTATATCAAAAGTAGTTGGATTCTCCACAAATTCTGTTTCAATATTATTTTTTCTCTTTTTTCTCTTGGATATCTCAAGACTATCATCCAAAACATTACGGCAATCTTTCTTCTTTTTACTTCTTTCAAAAGTCAGAACACAATCTGATTCTATTCCAATGGTAGTACCTGTGTAAACATAATACATCTGCATTAATCTTAGTTGCACTTATTATACTATTATACTATTTAAATATTGTACACGCACATTTTCAGAAAAATAAAAAAGATAACTAAAAAAATTACTAAATAAAAATTAAAAAGGCAATAAAAATAAGAAATGAACTGCAATAAGTATTCCCAATAATTTGATGAAACGTAGATGAAGAGAAAACACTAAATTGGAAATGAAATGGAACAATGAACATGTATCACATGGTATCTGAATCATATAAGGCTATGTCCATACAATGTCTCTTTTCCTACAATTTAAGCAGGCATGAAATGCATGTAATAGCACATGTGCTTTGGGCATGGGCTTTTTCTTAGAAAGGAAAGATGCATGCAATAGATCATTGCATAAGAACATGTTTTTTTCACTCTACTGAAATTATATTTAAGTTGCTTTGGTAACCGGTCCGCATTGAGGTATTTGCTGAAGTTTTGTAGAAAACAATTCCAGATTGAAGATAAATAGAATTGCTTACATAGATACAATCTCTGACATGGCATACAATCGGATCAATGTAGAAACAGACCTTCTATTTTTATTGTTGGCAATTTAAACCTTCCTGACGTGAACTGGAAATGTGCGATGCCACAAGAAAGCAAGGCAACTTGTAAAGGGCAAGTGATTATCGATTATATTTAAAGCCCTAAATGGCAGAGTGCAATTGTGGATATTTTCCTCGTTGTCTCTGCAGAAGTGTTCTTACAGGAATTAGCAAACATGGCAGCGATGGAAAAATTACACATAGATCATAAAGTGATGTAAGACAGAAAAACTGTAGTCAGAAATTATAGAAAAAACACATCCAAGGATTACATTGAGGAAAACATGCACAATTTCTGAGAACACAAGGCTGTTGATAAGAACAGTAAAGACACAGGAATACTATACAAGGATCTGGTAAAAAGAAATTTATTCAATGAGTAATTTCATAGCGGTATTCAAAGCCTAGTACAGACACATTACTAGTTTACAAAGGCAAAGAAGTTTGAGCATCATGCAAGGGAATACCATATGCATGTAAAATTACCGGAAAAGTAAAAATCACATGTACCAGATGGAATCTCAACAGATTTCATTAAACTATGAATTGCTGTATCCATTAAAATTACATGGGGAAAGAGTACCAAAACACACCAAGACATTGACATTTCCGCAATTATAGTTGTAAATGCTGTATGTCTGATTGAAGCTGCCCATTGTATACGTATAATAAATTAATCAATATGTGCTCCAATGCATCACAGCAGAGATTATGGCAGTTATGTGACTATTTCCAGTGGCACAAACAGGAACTACAGATTGTTGTGCAAGGCATAACGTTGCAAGTGGCCAGTGGTAATTAATTGCTTCATTTATGTATTGCAGCATGCAATAGAGCATTATCAAATTTATGATTGTATACTGGAAGCAGTTGACTAAGACGTGGACTAAAAACATACTGGAACAACTGAAAAGTTCTGACCATGTCAGTGTTTTGCCGGTAGGTGTTTTTAGGGTTTTGTGAACCATTTCCACTTCAGCACATACAACCTTATTGAAATGTAGGCCACGTGTTTCTATTAATGGACGTTTACCCAATGACATGAAAATATCTCTAGTTATTCCAATTTTCAAAAATGGTAATAAAACAAGAGCGCACCCAGTACTCTTCAAATCAGTAGTACATAAGGTAATGGAACAGACAATATCTATGTACATCCACAGCAAACAAGAAAAAGAAAATTGAATTTTCCCAGAGACAAAATGATTTTTTTTAATGAGCTTGTGTGTAAAAGTCAATAGAAAACCAGAAATACCTACAAAAACAATAGATTTGAACAGAGGTGATCACAAAACATTTGCAAAAGGAAACAATAACACATGTTGCAATAATTTCATTAAATAGCATAACATTTGGATTATAACAAGATATTTATCTTCGACAACACGCGATGAAATGTACTGAAGAATTGCAGATAGCTGTCGAAAAATTGTACCTATCACAGGCAGCAGCTTCTATGGCACAAGAATGTAAATGTTGATCACACTGTATGACGAACGTCTCAATTCCAGTTGTGATTATGTGGGAAAATAGTGCAACTTCAGAGGACAGACATTTTTGCAATGAAAGTGAAGAAATTAAAAGATTTTTTTTTGTTCAGATTCCTTTACATAAAATTAGAGTGCAGGTAATATTTGAGAGCAGGGTATATTCATGTATATATAGTAACAACAAAATCTTATTAGTAAGCTGGACTAATTGAAAAATTATAAAGATAAGAACAGAATGAAGAAAAAAACACTAATGCTCATTAATATGATTCACTATTCAAATCATTATTTCATGAAATTGTATCGCATTCACACACGTTTTAGGGAAAAAGCATATTCTAAAAATTACGCAACTCAATTCTGTATTAAAATTCCATTCTAAAACTTTATTACAAAATTACGCCACGCAACAGCAAATTCTTACCTTTCAAAATACTTTTGATTTTTTCTTTTTTCTTTTTCTTACTCCCACTTGGTTCAAAATCTGAGGCTTCTGAGCTAGGCTGAGATTGGTACTTCAGTAAAAGTTCTTGTTCTTGACGCTCAATCCGAGCAAGCTTGCCATTTAAATTTAATCCATGGCGAGCACCTCTGAAAATAATAAACAAGAAAGAATTATGCCAAAATGAGAAATGCGAAAATGAGAAATTTAAAATTTTTGAAAAGTCAGTGTTTTACACGAAAATGAGAGGTCCACCATTCTCTTAAACGTCCTTCACACTATACATAAAAAAATTTAATAAAAAATGGAGCAATTTTTTAAAAAAGTTTTGAAAATGAACCTGAGATTTCATGTAAATACCCCAAAAATTAAAATTCAAGTGGCTGCAACATCAGTCAGATAGTTTGGGGAATATGAATTTTAGAGAAAATCTGTTAACAACTGGATAACAAATAAATTTAACAACTGGATTTATTTTTCTGCCAAAAATGCAGTTTTTTCGCGCAGCATTACATAACTTTCTCTCTACTGCGTAATCAGTAGCAAGAAAGTAACAATAAGTCCATCGGAGTTGCTGGGTTGCCATTGAATAGAGTAGGGAGAGGCATGGCTTCTTCAGCGCCACTTGCTTGCAGGGGGACATGACCTCCCCCCCCTCCAATCACCATGGAGATCAGTACAATACCTAATCCAATACAATACAATACCGACTGATCAGGAGTGGGTTAACTTAGAACACCCGTCTAGAAGCGAGGCTCACAAGGAACCTTCCTTCTCGTATACTTGGGTGCATATCTGCCACGTACCACAAGAGCAGCAGTAGGGGAAACAAACAGACCCTTCAACTGCCAGGACACCCATTTTCACTCACACGGGTTGGCCCTCCATGCATTGAAAACATGGGTGGGCGTTCAGCAGATGATTGAAATGGAAGAGTAAGATATGAGGTAAGATAAGAGCAGGGGTGTTATAAAAGAATGAGAATGAACAATGGGGAAGATCAAGATGATTGGTGAGAGAAAGGAATACTTGACAGCCTTCCCTGCATCTTATGTCTCAATGTGGGATGACCCACCTTGATAGTGCAACGGATTTGCAACCTAGCACAGCTGGCCACGCTGAGTCAGCATGGCTCCACATCCTTATCGGTATCATCCAGAACCTATGTATTCTCTTCCTGCATGTTGCGCAGCAGTCAGCGCTGTGAAAAGGGTGATTCACGATTTTGACTGCCTAGTAAATTAATTTCCTCTAACAGGCTATGAGGATTTAATTTTGTGGGTCCTTAATATCGAAAAATCCATTGGCGGCAAAACGTGTCTGTCCGTGTGTGGTCAACGCTAGTGCTTTCACACGATTTTCTGCTCTAAATGCAGATTTTTTTCTTTCCTTGTGCTACCCATTTCTATGTTAGTATATCCTGAATGTTAAATTGTTTGGAAAAAATGTTTAATATCTAATTTCCAACTTATTCATAAGGGTAAAATCACCCGCAATGTAAGCAGTATTTATAAAAAAAAAAAAAAAGGGGGGTATTAGAGTTCTAATTTTATATAAATAATGTACCTTAAGCTCCTACCTCCTCATATACTTTGAATTCAACAAATTTTCAGTAGAGACATTTTAATTATATTGTTTTAAAATGGATTACTATTGTAATCTACACAACTGTTTGCGGTAAATAACTGAACCACTGAAGGGTTTAGGTGCACCTTGGTAATCTTGGCAAATTATCAATATCATGGGAATGTTATTTGGCTGATAAGCAAAGAGCTGCAATATGTACTCTAAATGTTTGCATAAACATTCTGTACAAAAAAATAATTTGGCAATTCTCTTCAAATTCTTCCAGTTCTTTCAAAGAAAGCCCATGGTTTTCTTCAAAATATTAGTCTTTCCATTTTCTTCAAAATAAACTTCTTAGTCACTAATTAAAAGAAGAGTGAACCCAAAATAAATAAGCAAGGTCGCAATAAAGTTACTTTTGATTGAAATTTTTCTCAATATGTAAGTGCCCACAAACACTATTGCCCTAATTATGCTGAATTTGCAAATATTTAAGTTTTCTCACCTTTGTTTTACTTCATTAAGGGAGAAGGTGCGTCATTCTATAGCTAGCTAACACCATGTTTAACAAAGATTTTCCAAATGAAAAGAAGAATTTACACAAGCAGAAGTATGTGTACGAGGAGTGGAAGGCCCAAACATAAAGAGTAATTTCACAGCAACATTACACTCTTCTTTCTCATCTGCAGCCATCTCATTTTAAAAAGGGAGTGTCTCTCTCTCTCTCTCTCTCTCTCTCTCTCTCTCTTTTCTTTTTTAAATGACGCTCTAACGTTAAACCTCCATTTTAATTAACTTCATGCAATTTTGTTCTATGCCAATACTTGCATTTTTAATAAATGGTTACTAATGCAAGGTCCTTACATGGAGTAGTAAAGAATTTTTTGATGGCATTGACCAAGTAAAATTAAAGGATACAAAGTATAACATTACTATAAAATAACCAGTCATCACATAATCACTTTGAACTGAAATAATTGTATTTGATTACTCACACAAGACTTTTCTGTCTGATATTGCATAATTTCTATTGATCTACTATATATTTTTATGAAAATCTCGGTAACCAATTTAATAATAAATGAGTAAATACTGCATATTCAACTTACTTGTGAACAGTGCGTCCTCCACATGCTTGAAATATTTCTTCATCTGTGAGACATGAACGTGCTTCCAAAGGAGCATCCTTTTCAGAGGATGTGCTAGGGTTTGACATAGGTTCAGCTACTTCTACCACTCCTTCTCCAGTCAATACATGTGTCTACAAATTAAGAGGCATTCTACATTACATGCATAGACATAAATTGATTAGGGGTAGTCTATGCTAATTATGACAAATTCTTAAAGAAGGCATGAACTTAGAAAGCAAAAACTGAATACATAAAAGTAGTGCCATGGTATTTTTTCAGCCTGAATTTTATTACTAGAATAAAAATCACTTCCGTTTTTGTTGTCTGCAGACGTCACATGTCTACAGACATCCTCAACTTCTCGCTTGCAGGACTACTTCAATTGTAACTAACTTAACAATTTTCATGGAACCTACAGATGACAAACTCTTCAATTAAAAAACATTCATAGTAGATTTAATTTATTTAGTAAAAAATAAAAAATAAAATAATTTAAAAAAATAAATAAATAAAAAGTGAAAACGGTACGTGACGTACGGGGGGAAAAGATTATCTGCGCATGTTGCTGAGTTCCAGGATCCCTTCTCGTCTTTTTAACTATAAATTGTTGAAAGATGAGTTTAAAATAGTTAACAAAGTTTAACATAAATAAAAAAAATAAAATTAAAAAAAAAATTAAAAATCACAAGATTAGCAATATTTGAAAAATAGTCATTTTTGTAGTAAGAGGCTGCAAGATGGAAATCTGCATTGCAAATGGTGTCGTGAATCCAATAATTTGTATTGGTTTTAACAATGGTAAACATCCACATGTGAAAGCGTAGTCTTGTGCAGCCGTAGCCAAACAGATACATCACTTTCTTGGAAATGCTACATCCTAGGCACAATTGCCAATGTTTCGGCTGTCATACTGAACTTTCACAGGCATATCATGGTGGCTGAAACTTTGTCCATTGTCCCTAGAATACGGTTCATTGCATTAGTGAAGCAAAGATTTTGGGGAAACTTCTGTCACAGGAACTTACATTAGTAGTAAAATTGGTAAATTACGATATATTTAGTTTCAAATATACTATCCCTTGAGAATTATTTTTAATATTTGCGTTCTTAAATAATTGCCTTTTGAACATATGATTTCTGATGTGACATTTTGTGACAACACACACCAATCAAACAACACCACCATCCACACCCTAGAATATGCCCTTAATGCTTAGAGAGCAGGAGAGGAAAAAAGGTGAATATTCGGAAAAGTCACAACGTGTCAGTCAAGAATACATATAAAAATGAAATTTGGGATCAGTTAGCTTTATTGAATTGAATTGAATTATTGCCTTATTTTACGAGGCGAGACTCAGGCCATGAAGCCTGCTCTTCTGTCTGACCATGCAAATTTTGGTTCACTCCTTTCAGCAACTAGCAGAGAAAGGAGGTATTTCTTTGGGTGAGAAATGGGCGATTGGAATTTAGCTCAGAGGCATCATTTAGGCTTGAAGATCTTTTACATGCAAGTAAATCTACTAACATGGGACAGCCGTCTTTACTTCCCCTCCAAAGGAAGGCGTACGGAGTATTTTTTCGCCCTTAAAAATCCACGGCTTCGATCGACTTTGAACCCACCAACTCGGTTACAACAGCCCGATATGCTAACCTTTGCACCATTGCCACGTGCGAGCTTTAAGCAAATATAGAGAGAAATGTTGCGGATAGAATCTTGAACAGTGCCAAAACAGGTCCTATTTTCATGAATAATGATGTTATAAATATCATACATGCATATCTTAAAAATGAAGGATGGGTTGAAAAACGTTCTTATGATAACCGACCTGGTCTTGTGATAACCATCCTGGACTGCTAGACGCAAAAGTAGAATAGCGAAATTTGCATTGTCAGGTGGAAGAGCAGGCCTGATGGACTGAGCCTTGCCACGTGTAATAAGGCATCACTGAATTGAACCGAACAATATTAGCAAGTTTACTGTTAATCATCCAAAAGGTTCAACAATGAAGAATTCAAATCTACGCTTTGACATTGCAATATTAAATGGTGAATTTCAAAATATATCCAAAATTGTTTATCCTATTTCATAGAATTGATGAATAAGAAAAGCAATATGATTTTTATCACTATAAGTAAATGCTATTGACTGCCATACACAATCTTGGTGTAGCAAATGAAAGAGGGTTCTTTGCATTCTTAAAATTTAAGTTTATTGAAATGTGCATAATGTCATTCTCCAAAAAAGAACAAATTAATTAGGCGAGTATTGTACTTTCCAGTAGAAATTGAATTTTGTTAATTGTCCAGGTCTTTGATCAGCAATTGTTAGATCCGTCATGAGGAAGTTAAGTTTCGATATCATCTATTCATTTCACTCACGATACGGACAGAAGTCACAAGATTGTATTTTAACAAGATAACCCATTTCCCTGTGTTTTCCAGAAAAAGGTCATTATGATTACTATTTCTACACCTTTGACATTGAGACTTGAAATTAATAATGACCATGTTTCATCATTTTACAAATCAAAGAACTGTATTTACTCTTCTCCTTAGAAGATATAGGAGCTCAGGTATGTGTTTTTACTGCACATGGTTTACATGTTGTTGAAATTAAAGCATACAAGTTTGGAAACTACACATTAACATCTCATTTCTGTAGATAAACCCATTGAAGTGGGGGAGTAGCAATATATACTGAAAAAAAAAGGTGAAATGTGAAGAAATTAAATATATAAATAAGTATAGCAATGAATTGGTTCTGGAAGAAGCTGGAATCGGTCTCAACAGAGAAAGAGAGATAATTAAAATTGTGGAAATATACAGATCTCCAAATGCAGACACTACAGAATTCTTGCAAAAGTTTGAAAGGATACTAAATAAACTAGATAAATATACAAGTAAAATAGTACGAGAAGGAGACTTAAATACAGACATAACAGAAAAATCAACTAAATTGAGGGATTTTAGAGTCATTACGTAGCACTTGGAGTTACACAAATTACAGAAAACTCTAGTCATGCCATAGACCATATATTAATCGATACAAAACTAAGAAACTATACAGCATAAAATCTAGCTTTTCATATCTCTGACAACAAAGGGCAAATAATTGATGTTCATAACTTTAAATTTCACAAATCAAGTATAAAATTCTCATCTACAAGGCACTACACAGATAAAAATCTTTCTAAACTTTGTAAATCACACAAAAGTGAAGAAATGACTGAAGTTTACACAGAACAAAACTCAAACAACAATTGGAATATATTTCTTAAAATACTACGAAATCACATAAATTATACATGTTCAAAATAAAAAAAACTAGCAGTCGTCAAACACAAAAAAATTAAACTATTAAATACAGTCATTGAAATTGAAGAAAAAATGAAAGAATCGTACACATTATTTAAACACACTAAAATAAATTAACATAAAAAACGCTATAAAGGCTACAGAAAGTTTTATAGAAAAGAATTAAGAGTTGCAAAAGTGAACAAGATTAATACCAAAATAGAAAATGCAAAAAATAAATCCAAAGTATTAATGAATATTGTAAATAATGCAGGTAAACAAACAACCTAACACAATACTATAAAGTTGTACCATGAAAGTGAGTGTTCTAATTCTAATTTGTGAAGTGTTTAATAATAATTTCCTAAATGCAGGCACAGAAATAAACAATTGTACATAAATGTGTTTAAATTCCAGATTTAAACATTCGTTGTATCTAGCCAGCACAGATGCCACAGAACATTCGAAATGCTAAATAACAGTAAAGTAAGTGCATGAGATGAAATTACACCAGAAATAGTGAAAAGATGCAAGAATTCTATAGCAAACATTTTAGTTCACTTAATTAACAACTCACTAGAAGCATATGCTTTTCCTGATATACTGACAATTAGTATTGTGAAACCAATATTTAAGAAAGGTAATGCTGCTGAAGTAGGAAACCATAGACCAACAACTCTTGTCATGTTTTGATAAATTATTCGAGCAAATAATAGCAGTCAGAATGTACAATTGTTTGGGGGAAAAAAAAAAAAACCTGTTAAGTAATGAACAAAACTGATTCGGGAAGGATAAATCTACTATTACTGCAGTTGCTGATTTTATTCAAGAAATAATAGGTAATCTAGTAAATAACTTTTTTACTGCAGGTGTATTTATGGACCTTTATTTATTATCAAAGGCTTTTGACAGTGACACATAAACTACTTATCAAAAAAGTAGAACATTCTGGATTAAGAGGCAATATTCATGAATTACTAAGGTCATACCTAATAAATCATACACAAAGTGTTCAAATATACTGGGAAACAAAAATTCATAAATAAAGTTAAATCTAATTTTGCTCTTGTAACAGCAGTCCTACAAGGATCAGTATTGGGAACCACTACCATTTCTAACATACATGAATGACATAACATTATCAAAAAACTTATGACGCAGATGACACAACGTAATTCAATAGTAATAAACACATAATAGCATTAACAGAAAATTTGACAGATGCAATGCATCAAATTTCTACATATCTAAGTCACAATAATCTAAATTTAAACATATAGTACAATTCAGTCACCACAAGCAAAACCACAATTACAACATAAATATTGATATAAACAACCAAAGGGGAAACCAAGTGCAAAGCCACTAATTTCTTGGAATCCATATTGACCAAAATCTAACATAAAATGAACATATTGATGTCCTATGCAAAAAAATTAATTCTAACATTTACTTACTACAAAATCTCTCGAAGTATATGACAGTGAAAATGCTCATTACCACATACTATGGCATTATAGACCCTCACATTCAATATGGTATAGAAATATGGGGAACAACCAGTTTAGGGAAGATGGTCAGGGTTATGATAATACAGAAACAGGCTCTTAGATGCATATTTCAGCTGCTTCCTAACCAATCTTGTAAATTGTTTTATAAAAAATACAAAATAATGACTTGGTGCAATTTATATACATAGGGTAATTATGCTCATAAAAAGAATAAATGTCACCTTATTCAAATCATATGTGTATTTGTACAAGAGAAAACTATCACAGGATGTACTCTGCAAAATCCTCTTTAAGAACGATCCTTATTTGAATGCTGCAATACTCTACAATAAACTACCCAAACATATTAAGGTGTTAAGCAAAGAAATTCAAAAAATTACTTAATTGAAACTTGACCATATAAATTAAAGGAACTAATAGTCAGAGAGTGCAATGTTACAATCTTTATATACTCTTTATTTTAGGATAAGTTATTTTATATACTTAGAATAAGCACTTTAGATTTAGATTGCCATTTCTATTAACTATATACTAAAATGTAAGTAATTGTGAATACTACAATTGTATTTAAGAAAATGAAAACTGTTAGAGAAAAAACATTGAATATTCACTTATGTATGACGATGCTTCAAGATTTGTAATATCAAGTTGATATAAACAAAATTCAACCGTTTTCACATACCCTTGTAACAACAATCATCTCGATCCAGGTAATGTATGGTAATGCTGTGTCAATTAAGTTCTGTATCGAAGGGATTAACAAGCATAAACATGTCAGTAAAAAATTGAAGTTATTTTCACATTAACTTAAAAGGCATATTTGAGAATTTAGAGGGGAATATTTTTTCCCCTTCAATAGCATTTCAGGTGCAGAAAATTAGAGATTTTTATTGCCTAAACAACCAACGTCTAATAATGACACAAGAACTGATTTAAGACTGCTGAAGAGACTTTAAAATTATGATAATTAACAAACCTTATTGAAAGAGAAAAGTTGATTTGTCTTTCCCTGTTATGGAAAACTCAATATATCTCCCTACTTCAAGTAAGTAAATAGCCATTACAAAAAATGAAAGTAAAACTACAAGCTTCCAAATGGCAGCACACTTCTTTATTTTAATACGTAAGAACATTCACAACAAGCTAGGAAATCACATCCAATATAAGATACCAGAAAAAAAAATATCGTGAATTAAATCGACAATTACAACTGAATTGCAGGTATAAAATGCCAAAAATGAAGATTTAAATCACCTTAACTATATTGTCATAGAAGCCGAAACGGTTGGCTGAGATCACTATGGCAGGTGTGTAGTGGCGATCTCTGTCAAGGGGGTAGCAAATTTAAGTCCTGCATAAACTTAAGTTATTTAATTGTTTATTGCAGCATTGTGAGCTTTCCCACAAACTACGCATCACCTTTCAAACCTTTTCATCTCGATTCTAACATACCTAGGTATGAGCTTGCATAAGAGGAAAGAACATGTATAATCTAGGTGGTATCATTAGCTGATCCCAGGTATTATGATATGCAGGACAGACCCTATTATCATTTATCTCTTGCCAAGCCTTATCCTTTCCCTCTAGTCAGATAACATCATGCATAAATGGCTAGCGTAGCTGAGATGGAAAAGCCACAGTCTTAGGAACTCACGGCTCACAATACTTGCAAAGTGTCAGAAAGGACAGATTACCTTGAGAATCAGGAGGTCAAGTGGTGTCCTGATATAAGACATGCATACATATATAGGTACAATTCACCTAACTTTAGATGAATGTTTAAAGAATTATGCTAGCCAATTACAAAATGAAACAAAACTTACCTTCACAAAAGCATTGTAATCTATTGGATTGTACATAGAAAATGGTCGTGCATCTTTAGTTTTAAACAATTCTTCTCTGTCTTCTTGTTGAATTTGAATGTCACTCTGGAAAATAAATGTGGAAAAATGGACTAATTAATTACAAGTATGTCTTTAGGCCAGAAAACCAACAAATATTTAGTTTGATATGGCTAATGAAAACATTAGATGGATAGAGTCTAAAGTGATTTGTTCTTTGTTATTCATACAGCTTTATCCCAATCGTCTGGCTCCTGTACAAATTTACTGGCCATTCCAAATATTAGTCATATTTCTCTTTTTAGCTATAACATATCTGATAGCATAATTTAATACTTTACTTCACAATCTAAAATTTCACCCTTATTGCTTTTAAATTTATGACCAAAAGTGAAACTTGTGTTTGATCGTGTCTTCCTATTTTTATACATTTCTACAAATTATTATACTTTTGAACTCTGCTTTGATGTAATATAATGCATGTAATGTGAGAAATAAAAGGATTGTGAATATCAATTTCACTCGTCTCACTGTGTCCCAGCAATTGGGGCACACTGAGGCAGTTTGTAGTGCTTATAATTTTGCAAATTTGCTGGCGCTTGTGCAATAAGTTTAACAATTTTTTAGCCTAAAATTGCAAAACATTGCCGATGATATGGTGAAACCAGTTTTAATATTTGGAATTAAAAATATAGTAACTGCTTTAACATTTCATTTGCATACCAAAGTAGGTAAATAACAAATTAGATTTTGTTGCTACAACCGCAAACAATTTTCAGGCTAAGTTTCAACATAGTAATATTAACTTAGAAATTTAGTACCTTATCCTGAATAACACTGATGTTTTTAGCAACTTTGTTGTATGCCTTCTCCCACCACTGCGATGTGAATTGCTCAGAAAGTCCATTGTGCCCCATGCCTGCCTTGTCAAACTTGCATTTTGGTTTCAGGGCATGTGCCATTCCATCTTCATTCCGCCCCAAACCTTTACCTAAAGTCATATTCAAACAATATGAAAAGGGCAGACTTTGATTGGTCATTCATTTTATTTAAGGTTGAGTATTTAACAAAACTATATAAGGTATTTCAATGTTTCAATTTAATTCTATATCATTCATGAGCTGTAATAACGACAATTTGAAAAATGATGTTCTCAGATAAACAGGTTTAAAGTTTTCACTAGCTGTCGAAATTCATGTACAAACACACTTAAAACTGATGGATCATAAAGTCAAAGTTCATTGAAATTCTGACAACAATTATTACAATACAATGTAACTATCTCTACATCATCCACATCACCTAAATATGTAAAAACATTTTTTGTTTGTTAACATAACTTCTTTTCTATTGACAAAAATCTATTAAAAATTGCAAACTACGCTTATTGCATAAAAATGTTGACTGAAAGTATTCGCATCCAAATGTAATTACTACACAAGGGACCAATCATTTAAATGCGGTTGACACTCGTGACACAAATTGCAGTTCTTTAATGCTATAACCTTACTTCACACGCCCCTGCAATATTACACTTGTTAAAGTGATGTATTATGCAACACTATGAAACAAAAGGTATAGAACGTTAAAATAATCAGTAACATACCATCTTTCCAACCGTACTTCTCCAATAACGCACGTGCAAATTCTAACCCTTTTAATGCCATGATCACCAGCCAATCACCCCGCGCACATGCGTCACACACCACCTTCACACATAACACAAGCACGACACACGACACCACAGAGTATTTAGTTGCCCATGAACGCGAGCAGTGATAGATCCAGAGAGTATTACAAGACAGGGATCACTGATCAGTGGTGATGAGTGGTTTTCAGTGACCAGGTGACCAGTCAGTCGCGATCAACAGAGATTCACTGGTAATCAGCTGGTGATCCAGGTAATCACGTTGTGGCCAGGTTGTGGCTCCCCTGCCTGGCAGCCGCTAGAAGAAGGCATGGAACCTGCATGAGCTATATGAAACGGACCAATGAAGACCAATGAAGAATGAGATTGTATCTCTCCTCTATGTGAAGACCTTACCAGAGAGTACCAGGACCTTACCAGGAACTTACATTCTCCGTGTAACAAGGCATAATGGTTATTTCCACAATGGTGGTTCCCCGCACGTTTTCTTGAGTCCTCGCTTCGCTAGATTCGAGAGGAGTGGGGAGTAAGGTTATTTTGATGAAAGCAATTTTATTTCGAATTTGTTGTTCATTTTTCCATGCAAAATTGTTTTTAATATACGGGAGCGACCATTCCTCGTCACCAGATTTTGTCTGCAACTCTCATTGCTATCATTAATTCTCAATGCAACAAATGTTGGAAAAGGATTGGGAGTAGATATTCCGGGGCTCAAAAAACGTGCGAATATAATATTCTTCCCTTGTCAGCTTCGTATCCTGTCCTCGTTCACGAATTGACTCTCGATACCGCAAGATTATTATTGTCTGTAATGCGCATTGTCGGGCGTATTTGTGTTGCAATTTCTGTTTAACCCTGTAATTTTTTCGCATTGATCTTTGCGTATTCACAAATTGATTTAATATGATTTTTACAGTTTTCTGTCATATCGTTCGTATTTATGTCCACAGAGTTTACATAAACATTCACAGTTCGGTTCATGATACACTTTTTTGTTGGTGTGGTGATGGTTAACGTGTATTGCCAATCTTGTGAAAACATATTTTTCGAAGTTGACCGCCGTCCAGTTCAGGTCTATCGAGGCACCTGCTGCAAAGTATTCTGCCCAAATCTCTTTTCTTTTTTGCTTTAGTTTTAAGAGGAGCCCCGCATAAGCGTCAGTAGTTGGTAGCAGTATATGTGATCTCATATCCTCTATTAGAAAGATAAGTAAATAATGTCCTTTCGTGCCAATACGGTATTTCTACTCTTTGAGATCGAGGTTAAGGTACGAGGTTATCCAATCTAGGGCGATACCACGAATTCCATAAGAAGGTAATTTTGGTAGCAAATTTTTATGGTCAATAACGTCAAAAGGTTTCGAAAGATCTAAAAATATTTCAATGGGTGCTTCATTTTGGTCCATTGATGAAGCAACATCTTTAAGAAAAGAAAAAAATGGCAGTTTCCGTAGAGTTTGATTTTCTAAAAGCGCGTTGTGAGTCTGAAAACGCTTCGTTTTTCGCGAGAAACGTTTCCATTTCCGTAAAGAAAAGCGTCCCTAATATTTTTGAAAAAACTGACAAACGAGAAATTGGCCGGCAATTTTGAATTTAATTTTTGATCCCTTTTTTAACAAGTGGCTTAATTTTTGCTGTTTTGAAAATACCTAGAAATATTCCTGTGCATAAAGCAGTATTGAAACTGTGAGTTAACGGGTGTATAAAGGCTGGTATACATGTTTTCAATAAATAATCCTAAAATTCATCTAAACCAGATGAATATTTATTTTGTAGTTTACTGACTATTCTCAGGATTTCTTTAGAAGTTTCGGAAATAAACATCGTGTCAAATATTTTTTGGGAAGGGAATGATGTTGAATTTTGTGGTTTTAGTCGCTTCGTGAGTTCAACCGCAAATCTAGAATAGTGTTGGTTGAAGACATTTTTCACTTTTTCCGGATTACTTGCTTCTCTTTCATTTTTCTTTAAAACAAGATTCAGTACTAAGTCATTTTTATGGTCGTATATTTGACGATATTCCACATTGCTTTAATTTTGTTACTAGCGTTCAAAATTTCATGATTAATAATAATAATAATAATAATAATAATAATAATAATAATAATAATAATAATAATAATAATAGTCCTCTGAACATGAAAAAGTTTTATCCACCTGTTCAGCAAATCACTGAAACGGAAGAGAAGATAACCTTATGGAAAGCGAAGGCACTGCATGGAAGGTACCCCCATGAGCTGAGTAAACCAGAAGTCGACATCTCTGCGTCGCACGCATGGCTCCAAAACGGGGATCTCTTTCCGGAGACAGAAGCCTTCATGATAGCTATCCCAGACCAAGTGGTGCCAACATTGAACTACAGAAAACACATTCAAAAGACTCTACCATCCATTCCGACTCGTGTAGAAGATGTGAGGCTGCAAGTGAAACTATCCAACACGTGACAAGTGGATGTAGCAGCCACGCACAGTTAGAATACAAAAAGAGGCATGATGAAGTGACGAAGCAGGTCAACCAATTATTGGCATTAAAACGGGCTTACTCGCCACTTCCGTGCCGTATTATAAATGTGTGCCTCAGAACGTGCTTGAAAGTAATGAGCACACACACACACACACACACTACTGGGATCGCTCCATTATTACTGACACGTCAGCGGCAATAGACCCGATATAACTAACATTGATAGAAACAGGTTTTCCTTATCGATACCCAATACCCACAACATATCGGGAAAATATCAAGAGAGGATCCAGAAGTATACCGATCTCGCCCATGAAGTCGCAAGTCAATGGAACTTCAGTAAAGTGACAACTGTGCCTAAAATAATATCAGCTACAGGAGTTATTCCGAAAATGACACTTCGGGCACTGGAGTGTCTTCACTTGGATACTAGGAATATATACAATATACAAAAGTCAGTAATCTTGAATACATGCCGTATTGTTAGAAGCCATCTGAATCTTCAGTAAAGCAACCGCACACCTGGACATCATTCCTGTGTGTGGTTGACATACCGACCAGTAGATACTGTGAATAAAATAATAATAATAATAATAATAATAATAATAATAATAATAATAATAATAATAATAATACCTATTGCGGTTCCAATGAATGAAAAACACATTGAGCTGCGGAAGCAGCAATTGATAGTCTTACACCGTGCGCATTAATACACAGCAATATGAAGTATGAATAACTATAAAATGGCAGTACACAGAGGTGCGAATGCCTTGTGCTGTGTTTAAAGAGTAACACAATTAACACATCGTGCAGTAATAAATTGTTGCACTATTTTTAAATAATTAACACACGCAAACGTTGTACATTGCGATTTGAATATAAAGAGCACGTTTGCTGGCGCGTCATAGCTGTGCACGTGGCAAGGATCTCTATCGTGTTGACTGCGCTCGCTGACGGGTAGCCAGTAGAATCTGTAGTTACAATGCATTATAATTAAGATATTAAAGTAATAGTTAATTTACAAATGTAATAAGTCGCAATGTTGCTTGGCATTTTCAACTATAGAAATTACTCGTATGATGCTAGATTTGGGGTTTAAGAATTGATGCAATAATGTTGCGTCATATGGCGGACCATTGCCCGTTAACTGGCGCGGCACATGTCGGAAGACCGTTGGATTTTCGAGAGGCGAGGGGCGGGAAGAGCTATTCTTAGAATCACAACCTGCCCAAGCCTGCAAAGACCGTTACGAAACGCTTACAGAAATGGTTCGTGCTGAATCTTTCTTGTATTGATGTGCTGTCAAATATGTAATTAAATTATAAGAAGGTAGCTTGCACGAACATTCCTTGTAGGATAACCTATAAGTTTTCAATGGGATTGAAGTCTGGTGAATTTCCCGATCAGTCTAAAAGCTTAACATAATGTTCTTTGTAAAAATTGTATGACTTTGTGATGATGTACATTGACGGTGTCATCGATTGCATATAGGTGACGATCTATGGCACGGAGCAGGATCTTGTTGAAAAATGCCATTTCAACCTGGCCATCTGTCATTAACAGTTTGGATCACAAGTCTTCTAACAATGTCAATGAATTTATCAGAATTCAGAAATCCATAAACTGGAACACGGGGTTATGTCCTAGAATGAAAGAGCAAAAATTCCCCCAAAATTTCCTTAGTGGGGTATTTTACTCTTGGGTCAGTATCTTTAGAAGAGAGTTTCTTATCTTGTAATTTCCTGACGAAGCAGTGGTGGCTCGTGCATTGGTTGCATAGTTGTACAACCCCTAGATAATTGAAAATGACTTTATACTATATAAAAATATATAGTTTCCTTTTAATGACATTCAATATTCAAGATATTGTAGTAATATAGATGTATATGAAATTTTAAAACCAAAGCGCATCCAACTGGCGTGCTCTCCGGCATCTGGTGACTCCCAGGTATTGACCACACTCTTAGCTCTATTATTGGGTTTATTGCATTTACTCTTTGGTCCCTTCGCAGAGGGAGAGATGGCTCAGGGCATCAACTGATGCTACAGCAGGCCCTCTGATCGGAGATCCTAGATTCGAGTCCCGAGGGTGGCAGTATTTTAGACACTAGCTTGTTAGCTAGGTCGAATTCAGTCGCTGTCTGGAGGAGAATTCTAGCGGCCGGCAGCTCTGATTGGTAGTTTTCCGTGGTTTCTCCGATCAACACCCGGCGAAAGCCTGAGCAGTACCCTAACAAACGGACCACGGACCGTGTGCTACCTCTTCACTTCCTCTTCTTTGTCCTGTCCTCATCCCTTACACATAGACTGACACTAACATGCACTACATGCGTGGCCGGCTTTTCCATGCACTAATGCATTGAAACTCATAGTAAGCTTAACAAATGGATTTTAATGCCCATTTCATAGTTGAGGTGAGGGATACAATTGCAATATTAATTTTCTTAATCTACCCTATGGTTCATGCCCTTTCGGGCCAGTTTCCGGGCGTTCGGACTCTCAGGCGGGTGAGGCGTTGGTCCCCGGCATCCATAACCTGCGGTGTCGCAAGCGGCGGCCCTTTTTGGCGGTCCGGCACACATGGTCCAGTGGAAAGTAGCAGTGAAGCCTCCCTCGCCCCTCGAAGGGAGGGCGGAGCAGCGGGCAACATCTTGGCGTCTCGGATGTTGGTGACAGCTCACTCGCGCGTCAGCAGCGTGGCCCAGACGGCGGTAACAACACCACCTAGACACCTAGGTGGTGTTGGCGGCAGTCGCACCTCTGCTCTTCATAGGCCCTGGCCCGTGTTCGGGGGCTCTGGCAGTCGTTGGCCGCCGAGTTCACACCTCGCGGCAATTGTCCAGCGAGCGGCCTAGCCCAGGTGGCACATAAGCGATCAGCGATGTGGCGGCGATGGCAGTCGGGCCAGTAGACAGCGGTGCTGTGTCTCGCGGCGTGCGGCGCGAGGTTTAGCACCGTGCGGCAAATGCGCGAGCCCGTGTTCATGACTCGGCCATTTCCCCCCATCCGAATGATTTCAACTTCATTTCTCCGCAACGTTTATCTGAATGAATAAACGTTACTCAGCCGCAGAACAGAATGAAAGTCAACCTGACTGGTTCGTCTCCTCCATCCGAATGAACAAGCGAGTGAGTCACAGTGGCCTCCCTTGGTTCGCGAGGTCACGTGGTCCTCCCCCGCTCGGTTTTTGGCGATTGGCAGTCTCGAATCACGCGGAGTGTGCTGTCCAATCGCGGTGTCATTAGCGACGGTTGGCGCCGCGGATTTCGGATGACATTCCGGCGTCACAGAAATTCTCCGAAACCTTGGTTGGTGAGTCTCCACCTTGCCGGCATGGCGTTCGCAAATTCCCCGCGTGACTCATTGCGTCTCGGGCCGCGCCCGGCACCCTTCACAATAGAAGGCCGAAGGGTTAAAAGGCTAGGAGAAGGACACTCTGAATAGAAAACCAGTGATGGAGAGACGTCTAAGAAGTCGGATGGCCTCGTTTCCGAGGGTCGCTGCATGAGGAGCGCCAGGGCATGCCTGGAGTTGGCGCTGGGCAGGACAGTGAGGAGACCGCCAATGACCAGTTGTTGGATCAGCAAGCGCCGGTCTCTCAGGAAGCTATTGCTGAATATAGAAGTGACCAACACCTCGGAGCTACCCTTGAAGTTGATTTTTGCCGGTACCCCAGCTGGAAACCATTGTTACAGCACAAAGAAGCGACTACAATGGTCAAGGACCATGAATGAAGATTTGATGCGCTGTTACTTGAACGTTACCTGCCTAGAAACTATGCGAATGTGATACAGGGAAAAATTGTATAGGTAATTCATACCTATCTATCCAAATAGTAATCCAAGTTAACAACATATTGCAGGTCAATATCGTAGTATCTTGTAAAACAACTTATAACATCAGCTAGAATTAATGGAATCAGGGAAAAATAAAGAAACTTGTCAGTACTACTGAAGAGGATTTGATAGCACAGCCAGAAAGCCAAACGACAGTTGATGAAACAAACATTGAAGGAGTCGAACAGTTGGTGGAGGCAGTAGATAAAGAGATCGATTGTCGAGATAAAGAACGAATGGAAGACAATCTCGACACACTAATGAGCACTTCTTTACAGAATTTGAGGATGCAAATCCAATCAGCCGTCCAAAGATACCTAAAGTCAATACCTCCTCAAAACTGTCGAATTGGCATAGTATTGAGCAACTTCACTTGATTGTATACTCTGGTGCAGTGACGATTGTGAGAGTTGTTGGAATAGACTTTAATTGTGAACGGCGGACATCAGGAAAAAACCCGAGTTTCATTCCGAAGTGGGAAAGGCGGCTGAATAATAAAATTAAATATTTGACGCAGGGCATTGCTCAATTGGTGGAATATGTAAAAGGGGAAAGATTTAAAAAATTGACAAAACAAGTGAATAAATTAATGCAGAGGCATGGTACTCACACGCAATGAGAACCCAACATCTTCCTTTGTGAGTGGCTCAGTACAATGAAACAGAATCTATCGGTATTTTCATCCAGCCCGAGACAATACAAACTGTGTAACCAGCGTAAAATCGTTGATTGTTTAATAAGTCTGGACAAAACTTACCGAACAAAGGACAGACAAATAGGCCCAGGTATCCAACCTTACAAAGTGTTCAAGACTTTTGGAAGAGACATCTCTCAGATGCCAAAAACGTCAATTCAGAGGCAAGCTGAGATGAAGGAGAGCAACAAAACCAGAGCAACTACCACAGGGATGCTGTTGGAAAACTAATGAATTGAAAGTCCCCAGGACCGGATGGGATTCAAAACTTTTGGTATAAGAGATTGACATGCATACATGAAAAATTGAGACAACTTATTAACGCTGCCTCATCAAATCTTTGGAAATCAATTTTCAGACAAAACTTGGGGGATAAAAAATGGGGGTTCCTATTTAAGATTTCAATGTTGCCTACCACCCCACCCGCTGGGGGCAAGGGGGTGCTGAGTTTAGCATAGAATGATTCCCCCTTCAAAACTGTTAAGATTTGGTCTCGACTCAATTTTTCGTACATCGCGTATTGTTGAGTTACGTATTTCAAGTTGTCGAGTTAAATGGAACACCTGTATATTTACTCCATTTTTAACTCGAGTGCGTGGTTAAAGGTTGTAGTGTGTCCCGGCAGTGACAGGTTGTGAGTAAACTGAGGCATCAGGTGTTGAGGAATTGGTGTTGGGAGAGGGAAAAGGATCAGAAGAGGAGGTAAGTGGGTTCGAAATAAGGGTGGGGGTTGGAGAACGTAAGGAAGGTAAAAGGGATGGATTTTTGGCAGGAGACTGCGTAGAACTGGAGTTGATGTGTTGGGCACGCTTGTACCGACTATGTGTTTTCCAGCAAAGTTTATGTGGACACCATGCCGGGTAATGTGTTTTGCTGAGAAGAAATTAATTTCAAAACGTGTAACATTTGTTTCTTTCAGTTGCAGTTTTAATTGTTAGTTTGCGTGCTTAATCTTTCTGCATAGTGTTGGTCTGTTGTACCAGAAGGTAGAAGTCAAGACTACAATGTTAGTGTTTTGGGCGGCACGTTGAATTTTTGTTTACATATTGTTCAGGTGTAAAGTTACCGCCAAAATTAATTCATTCTGCCCTCCTATGATAATGACTGTGTCCTGACTGGTCAGTGTCTTTGTGTGGGTGTACAACTCTGCGATCGCGTCTGCAAACCTGGAGGGTAACTTCCTACTGAGAATTGAGGAAAGATGGCAGCCATGGCTGTTTGTTTTTTAGGCTCAGTAGGAATGTCTTTGTTTACAAGTGGGCTAGGATGCGCAGCTTTTCGTGTTTTGATTTTGACGCACATCCTAGCCTGTTTGCGTTGGTTTGTGCATGTATTTGTCGATGGAAGAGAAGGGTTGTAAGGATCAGGAAGGCAAGGAAAATCTTGTTTCATTATCTAAAACACAAAATTTGTTTTGAGTTGCGACTGGATGTGGTGTCTGTCTTTCGTGCAGTCACGGGTGCACGATTGGAAAGATTCGCAGTGTTGCCGACTTGTACCCTACCGTCTGTATAGAGAACCTGTTCCAACCTTAGGATATGTTGATCTAAATTACTGTTTATGTGTGTAAAGGCTTTCAGAAGTTCGTCTTTGAGAGAGTAGAGAGTAAAAAAAAGTAGAACGATTAGTTGCCATGTCACGAGTGCGTTTTAATGTACTTGATAAAATTGGAATAAATATAAGAGACCCAGACAAGAGCAGTTGACTTAATATTTTTAAAGTGTACGATTGATATGTATTCAATAAATTAAAAAAATATGATTCGATACAAGAATGTGAAGGTGAGTTTATAAAATCGATTGAAAGCTAGTACTTACGAAATTTGTGAATGGGGTTCTGTAGATTGTTGTCCACTTAAGCTGCTACTACTTAATGCAAACCAGTAGACTATAGATAAAAGATATTAACTGAAAATTTGTCTTGAAAATATAGAATAAATTAAATTTGGAACACAAATTCAAAACTGTTCGATACACCGTTCTCCTGAAGTTCAAATCATCGGAATCGTCACAGAAATATAATACAAATCTTTCAGTAATTAAATTAGCACAGTGATATATCAAAAAGAAATTGAACTGTTTATAGGTTTTGACACTATCGCCAACTCGTAGATCTTAAGTTCGTTAATGTTCCAGTAACCGGTTAAAATTTGTTATATTTCAGTTTGTCTTGGTAATAGCAAAAAACTAGCCAAAATTATATATCCAGTCAACCCGCAACAAGTATTGAATGCACTTGAAAACATCGAATATATTTAAATCGCTAAAAATATTAGATAAACTGACAAAAATTTAAGAGCACAATCTGATGCGTCCGTCACGTAAAACGACGTCAACCAGTCATCAGTTCTTTCTCGCCGGACCCGGCAAGTGTCCCCTCCATTCGTTAGTCAACATTACTAAACCTTACTGGATTTTCATTGACTGCTGAAGGCAGTCTCCTTTGCAAAACTAATATAAAATTTGAGCCTCCCTTCTAATCAGTGGCCTGAACCCTCAATGGGCCTGTAACAAAAGTCCAAGGGTTCTTAATCTATCCTACCACCAACATAGTTTGCAGGAACATGGGTCTACCAACTACTCAAGCTCCACCATCAAATGCAAGACCTTGCACTCCCTGACTCAAGTTGTTGATGTTAGAGTAGTTTTCAGTCTATGAGTTAGAGAAGTTTTTACTCATAAGGAAATTATGAATTAAACAATATAATATTGTGGGGTGTTGGTGGTTTACCTTTGCCTTTCAAATCACAATCACATTAAAGTGAAAATATCTATGCCTTATTAAATTTGTAACCATGGACCATCAAACCATATAGAGCCGTTTCTGCTGCAGCTACTTGGGCTTCACATCTCTTCACAAAACGAATTCACCACATACAATAATAGACATGATTAATTTACATGAAAAAAAGATTGTTTATTTTACAGGTAGTATAAAAATACAATTCGCATTCATATAAGTAAAATGATTTTGAATAATAATTACAATATTCCTGCATATTAGACATCATGCATTCAACAACAATTCATACATTTTCATTTTACCATACTCACAAATTAGTAGCATGAATCATCAGAATTTGAACAAAAGAACAACATAAACTTGTAAATATGATTACAATGAGGAGTATCACAATGAATAAATAATGTCAATATTCAGTTATGACCTTTGGGATTATTAATACTTTGTGTTCAAGTTGTCCAAACATTGAAACAATGTAGGAATCTGTAGGATGGTTAAAGAGAGTAAAAACCGAGGAATGAAAAGGGGACATCAACTGCTAGTTAAGACAACTTGCACTAATTAGAATGAAATTGCTTGAAACTACATATTTTTCCATATAGCATGTTCTTATTACCTGTCAACTTATTACCTTACTACTACATGTTACATACGAAACGTTTATGCAGCAAGATTGCCCCCCTTCATTTTAGACCCCCCCCCCCAAAAAAAATGAAATGAATTTTGAACCTACCATGTTAATTCCAAATTCTTAAAATAATTATTTGTTCTACAGAACTTTATACAAGCAAACAGCTGAGCCATTTTATTTCTATCCTCCTCTCTATGTTGATTTGTTTTGTCATACAAGAAATGTTTATCTTATTTGGTACGCTGTATAGTTAAGAGAACATTCAAGAGATTCGTAATGTACAATATTCAGCTTTGAAATATCAATTTACGTCTTGTTTACTCTTACCTACTGGTAAGAGAACTGTCATAAAGGAATGAAGCATGCAATTAAAGAAATAAAGGGAACAGTGGGGAATATTTCACTCACATAAATGATCAAATGATCAAAGCAATGTAATAATATTTACAGGCAAATTCAACATAACTTCTATTAAAGAGCATTTCCCTTACATGATAATGAAATTGCTCTCACAAACACAAGATCATTATCATCATATTAAAATAACCAAAAATCAACAAATATTGTTTCAATTATCAGCAATAAATATATTAAAACCATTTCACATTGTCCAGTCGATTAACCATTAGTATATTTTCACATAGATCATACTCTTCATCATGATTATGACACGTCTTGTTTACAAAAAGAACAGAGACAGTCATACTGTAAGTACAAGAACCTTTTGTACTACAGTCCCTTAGCTGTCTGAGCCTTTTTTCGAAGATTATCTCTAAATAATTAAATAAACATTATATGGTTTACATATTGGATGAACATAATATACAGGATATTTCAGGATATACAGGAATGTCAAAATAAATGTTAGAAACTTCTAGAGTTTGTAGAAGGGTCCAAGATAATTTACTTTATGTCAATGAACATGTGGGATATCTCAAATGTCAATGTTACATGTGTGACATTTGCCTCTGCTTATTACACAACTCCTGGGCTGATGTTTAGAAGGTACATGAAATCTCGTTGATCAAGTGAGAACATGATCTGCCAAGCACTGAAGCATTAAGAGTAGTTTAACAATTAGAGGTACACATTACACGTGTAACTTCAAAATAAGAAATTTCCACCACATGTTCAGAAAAAATGTGATCTTTGAATTCTCTACCTATTCAGAATGTTTGGACTATTTTCTCTGAGACCTGTATATTTATATTGTTTCTAAACAAATAATACAAATATGCTGAATAATGATTTCCACATAATGTTTCTTAAATTATATAAGTTTAGGTAATTTTTATCAATAATAAATAAATTAAATTTTTACAATAGAGAAAATGATACATAAAAATAATATAATATTCTGTATAATTTTAAAATGAACTGTACATTTTAGGATGTAACATTATCGTAAGACCAATGGATAAAAAGGAGTATGCATTTCCACATTGTTGTATCTACACCTTTTATAATGCAAGCATCATAGTCATTACATAAAATTGTATACTTGCTGAAATTACTAACATATTATTCTTAAAAAATGTAGATAAACAGAAAATTCCACTCTTATTATAGTTAAAACAACTGGGAAATTAGCGTATCAAATGTATAGTATTTATAAGACTAACTCAAAAACAGAGAAGTGGAATTCAACTTACTAAATACAAATACACAACTTAACTTCACACAGTATTCATCATGTAAAGTTTTTATATAACTGAACTAATAATATAACTGAAGTCCATTACCTTTTTCATTGATTTGTATGATTTTTATTAATGTATATATTGTAGGACAATATCTTATAAAATTTCAAACTTCGAGATCGAAGTACTGGTAAATTGAATTAAGCAAATAATTGTTCAGTAATTACATGTTGGTCCCAAACAATATTTTTTGTTATAAAAAGATATAAAACATTTTCATGTAGAATCACTTCATCATGTGACATAAATATCTGTAGGATGAAAGTAATGGAGTTCAGGTTATTTAATTACTCTCCCCTTAGATATCCCTACGAGAAAGATTCCATTCAACTGAGAACTTGAAATGTAAATCAATGCCAAGTGTTGCAATATGAGGAAAGAAACTTCAACAATGTTTTCACCTATAAAACAGGGTTGGGAATTATCAAACATTTCTCTAAATTCTAGATTTGTCATAGTACGTCATACTTGCATTGTAATATCCAGATGGGTAATTACATTTTCCAGTTCAAATAAAGTAATTCAGCTTTTTCACTTTTTAGGATGCTAAACATAATACTTAATGTTCACAAACTAGAAAAAGGTTGGCTAATGCACACATGCTCACATTTCTGAAGTAATAACATTCCCATGTTGTAATTACAGCCAGGGATGCCAAGCAGGATCCATACGACACAAATTATTTGGATCCATTGCTGCAGCAACTAAAGCACTAACCTGAAAACAAGTTTTTGTGAAAAAATAATTAGATAGAATATAATACATTTATATAATAAATGAAAACAGATCAAGAACTAAATTTAGTCTGACTTATGACTGGCCTGTTTTAGCCTATTTTGTACAGTGCACAATCACACAAAGTTTCTCTGATATGTGTATGGTTTTAATAATTTTTAGACAATTGTTGGATGATTTCCCTCTTGAATGAAACTGAATATTCTTATTTTTGAAACCACTGTCCCTGAATGTCTTATCTTTATTAAGTATTTATATTTTATTGTCTGTCCCTGTTTATGTGAGTACCCTGTGGCCAATCCAGGGGTATGAGCAATGCTCCTTTAAGTCAAAAATGCTTCGTAATTTTATTAAATTTATTCCAAATATTTATCATACATAGATATCATACTCAAAACAATCTTCTCAATTTGAATACATACATACTTTTTTTAAATTTTCAAGCAAAGAATTAAAAAATTATTTCAATGATGTTACTGGTGTGTCCAAACTGAAATTGCTCCTCGCCACCTACTTTTCTTCTACACCTGTCTCTGCGTGCCAGTTAGGTCAACGGCCGACCCATACGCTCTTTTCAGACTGGCACCTGTCTCTAGCCTCCAAAGACTCTAACCTGCTCCCCAGCCCTGTTGTCAAATCGCCTCATTTAGAAGGGAATTTGGCTGCTTGCCCGACAAGTGCAGAGACCAGGTGCTTGGAGCCACTACAAAATTGCTTTTTTTCAGAATAATTTATTAATATTCAAGAATATTTCTTTGCCACTCTATTCAGCCAATTGATTTCACGAAATGTAAGGAAACATTTTGCTTCGTATTAATATATATTTGACAAAACCTTGGAAATTTTAAAAATCTACCTGATGCTTAAATGAAATTGAGCAGGCAAAAATAAGAGTTAGTAAAGTTTATGGAGACATTATGGAGAAATAAAAACCAATTAAAGAACAGACATTTTATTATCTCCATTTTCCTTTCTTAAAGAATGGAAAGAATGCAGAATATCACTAATTTATCAATTTTAGAAGAAAGTTAATAGAAAATTTTATGTACAATTCTATATTTTGTGGCGTCACCAAATTTCATTATATTAATTTAATATATTTACGACAAGCCGCCCGCTCGGCGCTCGCCCGTCACACGCCCCTCGTTGGCTGCCGATCCGCTGGGAAGACCTTCCCCCCACCCCCCTTCGGAGAGGTGGGGACCCACGCAGTTAGCAAAACAATGACCGCCCCGTTCTTGTCCCGCAGACAGACCCCGCCCGCCGCCCATCTGCAACGCCCCTGCGCAAAGGATCTCCCTACAACACTTACGGAAATCCCAGATGTATTGTTTATAGCTCGCCCGTCGCCGGCTGCCGATCACAGCGCTGAATATTTATGTTTCCGAAAACAAAGCCGCCTGAACACGTGCCGCAAGAGATGCTTCCAGAATTGAGAGAGAGAGAGAGAGAGAGAGAGAGAGAGAGAGACGGACGGAGAGAGAGAGAGACGGACGGAGA